CCCTCTCTTCAAAAAATTCCCGTCGTCTTATTTTCTCTAACCTGTGCTATTTTAGATGTTCATTTACAATTAAATTATAACTTGGAACCTGTTCAAATCTTCTCAATTCACTCTCATTATAGTTGATAAACCTGTTGAACATCCAGTCGTCCCCGACAATACAGTGATTCGACGTCTGGCAGCAGACGCAGCCACCACACTTTCTCAATTGGTCAGCAGTGCAAACAGTCATGGCCCGAATATCTCAAACATTTCTCCTTCCCCCTCCTCGCCTTACTGTATCGTTCCACCGTGCGCGTGGCCGTACACTCCGAACACCGCCATCTCGTCTTCTGATACACTGTTTGGTTCAGACGCTCTACAGAAATCCCTATCCTTACATCCGAACAGCCTCGGTGTATCAGTCACCGATTCCTCGTCCCTGGATGAAATTTGGAATCGTCACTGGAACTGTCTGTCCGAACCATGGCTAGCTGCAGCTCAACAAAGTATCGCCACATTTTCTGTTAATTCCAAGGACACCGGGTCCTCACCGGATAAAATCAGGTTGGTTTCATATGTGCACAGAGTTCAATTTGAAATAGCCTCTGCTTAAACGAAATTTTCTCGCCACTGCTCAGTGTGTTGTCTCTCTCTCTCCTAGCTTCTCTTGCTTGCATTGGGTTTATAATTGGTTTTGGCTTTGTATCCGCTGGCAAGGTGAAAATAAGGTGCACACTGACCATCATGTCTATTATCCATTGCCTTGTGCTCATCATGGCCGTTTTTTTCATGAACGTGCTACTTGTGTTGTGTGCGGGTATCCGCAGTTGCAGATTAGGTATTGAACACTGGTAAATAACAAACGTCACACTACTCTCATTGATGTGTGCACAGTCTTAGCTTTTTATTGTACACCTCGTTGTGGGGGACCGACAGACAAAGTTAAATTATTGCAGTCACAAGCCCGTTCTGGTGTGGTCACAAAGTCCGGTACACTGAGGCTTCAAAATGTTGGCTGTTTAGAGGACTCCTGTTCCTACAAACATGTTAACTCAGCCCGAAAAGTTAAACATGGAATATCGGTGCTCAGTTCTTCTGGGAGAGTCACAGCCAATACGATGGAAGCCGCTGAAATGCTGAAGAACCAGTATGCCCACGTTTTTGCTGCGTCAACTAATGAACGAGTGTCCCTCCCTCGTTGGATGCAACAAATTCAACATCCTTCATTAACCACCGTATCATTCACTGCCGAAGAGGTT